CTGAAAACGTCATAAATCTAATATAATCCATAACATTAATGGTATATAATATCCTAGATTATCCCAGATGGTAAAATAAATATCTGGTTGTATTTTAGAGTGTTGCCCTCATCTCTATAAACTACAGTCAATACATTAATAGTTTATGACAATTCCTTATCTAGGGACATTAATAGGGACCAAGATGCATTTTGATAAACAGTAAATCCATGCTCCTTTTGAAAGTTTCTCTGACATTTAGGAAAGTAGAGAAAAGCTCTGCACCTTTAGGCTCCTGTACCCACTGCAGGACTCGAGAGCCTCTGATGCTGTCCCCCATCTCGAGTTCTCCACCTATAAGCTAGCTGGACTCCTATAGATGGCCAAACCAAAGCTAAGAGAACACTAGTAATCTAAGGAAAAAGAGACTCCTCAGCTCGGTTTCCAGGGCTAATTCCATCCTAACTCAACTCCTGAGTGAGGCCATATGAGCACTTCTCAAAAAGACTTAAAAGTGGCAAGGAGCAGAGACACAGTTCCACACTGTCACTCTCAGCAGTTTGACCAATTTCTTTCATCTTTTAGGGCTCCAACTTGGACCAAACCAGGATTCATGACTCTAATACTGAAAGGAATTTCAGAACTAGTCAATTTGAAGCAAAATTTAATTTTAAAGATATTTATTTTTATTACTATTATTATTTGGAGGAACAATGTGTGTGCTAACTAAAGTACATATGTTCAAGACAAAGAGCACTGTGGTCACCAGGCTTGTATTGCAAGTGACCTTATCTGCGGAGTCAACTCGCTGACCCATAGCTGGAGATGTTACTAAAGATATTTTATGAGCTTAAGCATGAGTGTTGGGAGAAAGAAAGGGGCTTGGAAAGAAAGCACACCAGAGAGGATGATGTGGGCTTCTCCAAGAGAAATTAAGACACCCAAGTGTTAAGTATGGGCTCCTTAAGGTAAAGTGGCAAATGTATTAACATCAAGCATTTATGCCCCTTTGGTGGCTCTCATTTTTCATCTTCTCTCTCCTTTGATAATGAGATTCTGAAGTGTTTCCAGTTTCCTTGGAAAGAATGGTAATCTGGTAAGGTAAAATCAGCAGATTCTTGGGTTGAAGATTAGTGTGTCTTTTTCCTATAAAGAGGGTTTCTGGTTTCTTGCAAAATTCCTAGAAAACTAGTTTACAGTTGGGACAAGGCCATAAGCAACTGTTCATTGTGCTAGCATTCTTGTTTCTCCACTGGGAGAGGCTTCAGCCGGATGCCTGTGGGAGAGGCTCCTCTCCCGTCTGTCCCCAAGATTTCCCCTTTCTTCTATCCTGCCTCAGCTTCCCAGCTAGGTGATGAGAAATGACTAGCAAGTTTTGAGAATGACTGTTCGAACAATCTATCACAACCTTACAGATATGCTTTTTAAAGTCATGTTTTCAGAAAACTGTAAATGACCCATCCGACAAGGGAAAATGAGCATATAACTTTATAATCACAGATTTCTGATAAGATTGTTGTGAAAACAACCCAAGATTAATGAGAAACATTTATGTACTTAGATCCTCTAAATTCCTTAGATTGCAAAGCAAATCATGAAGAGTCATAAACACTGTACTGAACATCCCCAAACTCCTCCGGTATATAGGTTTAAGTAAATTTGTTGGTTATCTCTATGAAAATGGAAAGATGTGTGTTTTATTGCAGACATCTTGCTTTATTAATCACAGCAACCACTGGCAGGTCTAGGCCCTGGAAGCCCAGGACTTGGCAGAATACACTCCAACTAGTAGGAAGCATAAATCTCCTACAGCCCAGTCCCCAGGGATTTTTTTTTTACTGGTGTGACTTACAAATGCTGATTGAACACTGAAAGACGGCCAGGAATCATGGAACAGTAATATTAGTATGCTGAGGGGCTCTACAGGACACAAGCAGAACCATGAGACAAAAAAAGATGGTCTAGCCGGGTGGTGGTGGTGCACGCCTTTAATCCCAGCACCCGGGAGGCAGAGGCAGGCGGATCTCTGTGAGTTCGAGGCCAGGCTGGACCGACAGCCTCCAAAACAATACAGAGAAACCCTGTCTTGTAAAAACAAAAAAACAAAACAAAACAAAAAAAAAGATGGTCTGCTAAGTGTTTTCCATGCTTAAGAAGAAACAACTGGAATGGGACAGCCTTGTCTACATGTGCTGGCACTGTGGCTGTTGCCTATAACTTCCTACCTTCATTTTTCTAAAGTTGTGGCTCATCCCCTACCCCCCCAAAAAACTAATTTGGAATACACCTATACTAGACACTTCAGGTGCATAAGGAAATTGTCTTTTTCCCTTTGCCTTAGGCAGAGAGTAGAGTCTGGAGCCCCAGACAGGCTTTCCAGGTTCTGTGTCCAAGGAACTGGATTAAGACACACAGATGTGATAGAAATAAGACAGCTGATTAAGAAAGGTGGCACTTCCTAGAAAAATTAGGCTGGAGAGCTAGGCACTGTGCGAATATATATGTATGTGTACATATACATACATGCAGACATACAATGTATGCACATGCTTTTCTGCACATGCTATTACATGCCAGCATTTGGTGGGAGGGATTTCCAGCCTTTTACTCTGTTGCTGTTTGCTTTCAGATGCTATCCCTTCATGCATACACGCGCGCGTGCGCGTGCACGCGTGCGCACACACACACACACACACACGACCTCATGTCCTACTTGTCACAACCTCATTTTCCCCTTTCAGGAACCCTCACTCTGCCTTCTTTTAGCAAAGTGTTTATGGGCATCTGTTTACTCAGAAACCCTAAATTTGGTAGTCTGGTCTCCGTTTCCTCCCTCTTTTCTTTTCTTTTCTTTTCTTTTCTTCCTTCTGTCCTTATGTCAAACATATTAGGGATAGCTAGAAGTGTCTTTGTTAGGTTGCTTCTTTAATCCCTATTCCCTCCTTATTTTGGGTTGACTCTTAGTACAAGAAGATGCAATAACATGGAACATGCTTTTTCAAATGCACCTAAGATTTAAGATAGTAGGAAATGAACTCCACCAATAATAACTCTGCATGTTAAATATTAATAGTCAATATTTTCTGTTAAAAAACCCATACATATAATCAAAGATCATTGTTCTTCCAAATACCTACAAATGCACAGGTCATCTTCTATTGAATTGGAAAGGAAGAAGGTAATCAAACTGGATACTTGTCTCCAAGCTATTAAATCTCATAGCAGTTATTTATTTATTTACTTTGGTTTTTCAGGACAGGGTTAATAGGTATAGTTCTGGCTGGCCTAGAACTTACTCTGTAGACCAGGCTGGCTTCACAGAGATCCACCTACCTCTATCTCATGAGTGCTGGGATTAAAGGCGTGTGCCACCACCACCTGGCATGCAGGTAGATTTTTGTTTTTAATCAGAGCATATATAAAATGTTAACCATTGTTGAAGTGGTACACCACCTCTCTCTGATTTTGACAAACAACAGGGGAAAGAAAAATATCTCACAGCCTGGAGAGTCAAGCTCTAAACATTTCTTTTCATAAAGAAAATAATATTAGCTGAGCAGTGCAGGTGCACACCTTTAATCCTAGCATTCGGGAGGCAGAGGCAGGGAAATCTCTGTGAGTTCAAGGCCAGCCTGATCTTCAAAGAGAGTTCCAGGACAGTCTCCAAACCTACTGAGAAAGCCTGTATCGAAAAACCAAAACCAAAACAAAAACAAAAAGAAAAACAAATTATCCCAACTATCATTATAGCATATAGCAAACCTTTGTTCACTATCTCTTTCTACAGGAGCTAAGTGTTAACTGTAAATGGAGGGGGGGGGGAGTGACCCCACAATGAAGTAAATTATTTAGAATAGTAGAAAATAAGACTGAAGTTCAACTCACCTTCAGACCAACCTCTGTTACATGAATGAATGTATGTCCATACTGTACTCTCTCTAAGCTCTGAATTGTCTTATAATAGTGAAAGCCACTTAAGCAATAGGTGAGTATGGCCTGGTCCCTCTATGCTGTGGCTTGCTGTCTTCTCCGGCAATGCTTGGCAGTGACACGGTAAGGGAGTGCTCAGTTGGCAATCCTGTCCCTCACATTGCTTTCTCTCCCCTCACATTGCGCTCTCTCTCATTTTCATCTTTCATCTTGCAAGACTTTCATCAGTATTTTTGTAAGTGCTGGCTTATTTATGCTAAAATATATTAGCTTAGGTGACTAAATTGACAGATTATTTCTTGCTATAAAATACTACAGTAAGACATCATTAGTAACCAAATAATTGATCCCAACTAAGCTAGTACTGATGTACTATATTGCATTTATTATATTATATTAATATTACTGACAATCTGTAGTTCAAACTCCTATTGCTATAGGCAAATGGTAGGAAGCACTGCAGCCATGGCACTAAAAGTGTAAATAGAAAACATGCTACAATAAAAGCAAATTTAGTTTAATTATGGTAACACTACAAAGACAACTTGCCATGCCTTACTTTTTAGCTTTGGGATGTTTTTAAGTCTTAAAGTGTGAAGAACTTTCACCAAGAAAATATTCTATTTAAAATTTTATGATTCTTTTAATATATTATGAGCAAGTCCATTATAAGCTAATAAAATTATTATTGACTCTCAGGAGATATGTAAGGATTAACTAAAGATGAAAACCAGCACACAAAAGAATTGTGAAAATTTGAAAGCAGGACTAAGCTAATTTTCTGGCTTGTCTACAATTTATTAGTTTCCCAATAAAAATAAATACAAGACTTTAAGCTGTTTAATAGCATGAAGCATTCATTAATGAAAATTAGTATGTCTCTTTTATATTGAATAGTGTACAGGCTATTAAGTATACAACAGCCTTTTTGTTTGTTTTTTGTGTGTGTTTTTTTGTTTTAGAGTTACTTATTATGAATACAGTGCTCTGTCTGCATGTTTGCCTGCAGGCCAGAAGAGGGCACCAATCTCATTATAGATGGTTGTGAGCCACCATGTGATTGCTGGGAATTGGACTCAGGACTTCTGGAAGAGCAGCCAGTGCTCTTAACCTCTGAGCCATCTCTCCAGCCTCTACAACAGCCTTTTAAAACACAATTTCACCTTAGCAAGTACAATATATGTACCTATTAATTTTGGCAGGTAAAGGACATGAAGGAAAAGTTGCTGGCTGGGTCTAGCCAACAACCACAGTCATCCCATACTGTGACCCATGGAGCCTGGAGTCTCAGCTCTGCAGATCTATGTTAAAATTATGCTAACAGCTAAGCATACTTGTATGGATTTCACATTAAAATGTGAAGAAACTAGTCATGGATTCCCACTATGTGGGTTCTTGAATGTCATAAATTCCTGAGTCAAGATGATTTCTGTAGTTGTTTCACATGGCACCTAACATGTGTGTAACTGGTCCCTGCATTCCTCTGTCCAGCTCAATCTTATCCTAATGGTCAGTCCTGGATCTCCAACCACTGAAGGGGCATTTCCACTGTAGACTCCACAGGCATCTGAGCTTGCTGTGTGTCCATTAATCTCATTGTTTTTCCTTCCAACTAGCTTCTCTCTCTTTTTTTTGTAACAATGTTTTTTTTTATTAGACACAGGATTTTAAATGATCTCTTCAATTTTTCTATGCACAGGCAAAACTATGTGTGCCATTTAATATACTGGAGCTTGCCAACTGAATCACTACCTAGAGAAGAGAAAATTATCCCCAACCTGCTTACCGACCCCCAAGAACATGGAGATGAATATGATAGACAGACTGTCCCCGGGCTGCACCTTCATTCACCACCATCTGATAGCCCCGGTGCAGGCCTGGATCGGCAGCCCATTTCTTGCCAACAATCCTTAAATGTCCTAGAAGACTTTCATCATCGTCTTCTGCTACAGAAATCTGGGCTATATGTTTCTTGGGTATCACCAGGAAATGTGTTGGTGCTTGAGGGGAAATGTCATGAAAAGCAAGACACTCAAAGGTGATCTTGGCGGGGATTTCTTTGTCAATGATCTTGCCGAAGACCATGACGCTGCCGGGCTTGGCCACTTGAGCCTTGGCAATCTCGTCAGCCATCACAGCCGCTCGCTGGCCTTCCCGCACCGTGGCCACGGTGGGGAGAGGACCAACTAGCTCTCTTAACTCTCCTTATACCTAGATGCCTTGGGAGTCCAGCTGGATTCCTTCCTCCACCCTATTCCACCTTCCTGTTTCCTGAGCTCTCAGCATGCCGGCCTTTCCTCTCAAGCATCGATGGAATGAAGTCTCTCTCATTCAAGCTCCGCTAACTCTTCTGGATTACTGCTTTATGCCTTGTTTCTCTTTCAAACCATCCTCCTCAATGCAGCTGGGATGCTGAAAAGGCCAGCCTTTCTGCGCACTCCTCTCAGGACTCACGTGCCCTGTGTCACCTGTGCCTCCGCTCACCGCAGAGCATGTCCTCTAGCAGCTGCCCAGTCTTCCACCAGGAAGCCCCTTCTCCATCCACTCAGCAAACGACTATCCGGTGTGGACTAGTCACATGTGTGGCTGTGAAGACCCTTCCCTCAGGACTCTCGATGACTTGTCACCATGCTTCCCCTTCAGTCCCGTGTCCTGGGACTTTCAGATCTCTGCGGATACTCCACAGTTAACTCTGAGCTCTTCCTTGTCAACTTAGCCTTAGAAATGTCCATGTTTCGTGGTGCCTCAGTCTTCTTTCCCTCTTCACAGCAGTGAGGAGTGTCTCCCCTATGAACGATGACGCCATGAGGACACTTGTATCTTGACTTTTCCCCCTTATGTTGTGAGCATCCAGCAACCAAGTGCCTTATTATACACTTGCTAGAATCTAGAACAATGCCTCATTAGTGGAAAATTTCATGCAGTAAACAGTATTTCCTAACTACATTATATGTGATGTGACCACAGTATACAATTGGCTACAGTCGTTCTGATTCTCGAAAGCCACTAATCTTTTAGTGAAGAAGGCTACACTTGATGGTTACCAGGTGGTGGCACACACCTTTAATCCCAGCACCTGTCAGGCACAGGCAGATCTCTGTGAGTTAGGGGCCAGCCTAATCTAAAAAGAGAGGTTCGGGTAATACACGGCTACTGAAATCCCTATCTCAAAAAAGAAAGCTACACTCAACACCTTTCAACTGATACCTATACATAATCTTTCTCTTCCTTTACGGCAAAATTTACCAATAGTATGGCCATTTTAAACACATTTTCTAGCCTTTAAGAATTACAATCACTAAGAACTTGGAATACACAAAATGATCCTACAAACTCTATAAGTTTTAGGAGCAAGGGCACAGCAGTTCAGTGGTGTAGCATTTGCCTAGGATGTGCAAAGCCCTACTGTAATAGCTGTAATAGTAACCATGTAGAGTGGAACACAGCCACTATTTGTCTTCTGTATCTTTCAGACATCAAACACTTAGATCAAGTACTATCTAAAACATGCATTTTCTTTTTATCTGACACTCTGAATCAGTTACTGCTCTTTGGAAACAGTTTTAAACATATTTATCATACTTGCAGCTATTCCACTTCTGTTTGACTATCATGTTTTGTAAGTGTAACAGCTCACCATTAACATTAGTGTATGATAAAACATTACTGTTGCAAATACTGCCTTAATAAAACCTCACACCTAAAACAATGTAAACACACTAAGTCTGGGACAGAGTGCCAAGAATGGAAACAACTGGCTCAGCGACATCAGCTCTCAAAAGCTCTGGATGCATGGAGGCTGACTTCCCTGAAAGTCACAGTCGATCATTCCCCACTATGCTGCAGAAGACACAGCTTGTCACCCATCAGTCTTCACAGAAAAGGGGCTTGCATGTATGTTATCGGGGTTTAAAAAAGACTAAGTGACACGCCAAGTGACAGAAGTCATAGAGCGGCTAGGTTACAGACCTGTCACTACCAGGTTTTCACAATAATCACACAAAGGAGGCCTCCGTCACCATAAAGGAACAACTGGGCTCCTTCCAACAGCCCATCTACGAAGTCCTTCTCCTCATGATCCTCCAACTTCAAGAACGGTGGCGAAGCAGCTGGTGTGTGGGCAGCTCCTCACGCCTGCCTTCCTTCCTAACCTGCTGTGTGTGACAGACAGTTCTTACCAAAGTGTGCTGTGTAGGTGTCTCATCTGTGTCTGCATCCAACGGCCTCCGTGGAAGCTAAGTTAATCCTAGCACAATCCAGAGTTGTGAGGAGTCACTCACAATGGAAGCCATTCCTGAACAGTTTTCTTCTTCATTCAGGGCAGATCAGTGTTACCGTGTGCATGTGTGAGGATGTGTGTGCATGCGTGAGGATGTGCTTGTGTATACATACTCTCCTGGGTGTGCAGGTGCACATGTGTGTGAGAGTACATGTGAAGGTCAAAGACGACTTCAGGCATGGTTCTTTACCCACCCATCTACCATCTCTGTGCTTCAGACACTGACCTAGAATGTACCCCGTAGGTAATTAGCATTCCTCCCATGGGGAATGCAAGTTGCATCACTGCGCTTGGCTCTTTGAATTTAGGTTTTGGGGACTGAAGTCGGGTTCTTGGGCTTGCACAGTCAGCACTTTACTGACTGATCGCCCTAGCCCATATGCTAATCTTTCAACATGGCTTCTTAAGGAAGCACAGAGAGCAGTCTTTCGAATGATCAGGAGGACAGGCACACACACTGATTCCTTCTTACCTTAACTATTAACCCTTTTGAGTCAACCATCCATATCTTTTTTATAGCGTTCTCCTTTGACAAGCCTTCTTTCTCCATGGCCATAACAATCAGGTGAGCAATCCCCAAGGCAGCCTGAAAAGAAGGCATAAAAATAAAGAAGATTTCAAAAATTGTTCCACGTGTCCTATTGAGGGTAACACATCACCCCACTTTGTCTCCGAGCAAGGAACAGCAAAACAGCTCTGCCCACTGAGTTCCGGAGCTCCCGTCATCACTTCACACTAGGAACCAAACATTTTGTCACATTTGGGTGTGCGAAATGACCATTGTTTATTCCACTTAATTATAACACAACCACTATGATACAGTTCGCTAGTCAGCACAGATATGCCATTGACTGTCAGTATATCTGATTCTAGTTATATAGTCAGGACTGGCCCAACAAGAAAGCACTACGTTTAACACAACCACCTGTCAGCCTGGCTCACTGGACCGTATGACTTACTGTCAAAGACACTCCTCCAACTGAACTAGAACAAAGACGTGTGCTCATCTCGACAGGATCATGACTGATTAGACAACAACAGAAAACTGAAAGGAAATAGTGTTGTCCAGCATTTATTCACTCTCTCAATTTAGCAAGAAAGCACTGCGAAATGTCTCCAAATATTAAAGAAAGGATCTCATTTGGGATTTGATGAAGCCTTCGATAATCTGTGACAGGTCACAGACCTTATCTTTTCAGGAACAAGCCAGGGCCCACAAGTCATCCAACCAGGATCTTCTGGAAATATAGAGGGGCTTACCAGAAAAGGGCTACCATATTAGGGCTGTAGGGAGGCTGGGCTGTAATTTCAGTTTGAAAGTGAATCTGTGATTACAATCTGAATGCTTTCATGTACTCACTGTGGCTCTAAATCATACTTCAAAATAAGCTAAATGAAAACACAGTATGTACACATTTCTACCCATGGAACAACTTGTTTTGCTTATACTCATTAAATTTAATTTTTTTCTCAAAATGCCTGTCTATCCATAGTATTTTCTCATTTTTGAATTCTGCAATTCTAGAGAGATTAGAAAGCTTTCTCACAAGGAATATTTTGTTCTGTTTGGGAGTGAACTAGCTTTCTTCTTTTAAATGAGTATTGACAATGATTTGAAGAAACAATATAATTTGGTCTTATACAATTTCTTCTATGATTTCAAATGTCTTGGTTATAATGCAGTTGTGATAGACTACACATCTTTAATTCAAGATGATTTTCTTAAAAACAACTGCAGTTATATACGTACAGGCTGCACTGTGAACACTTTGTGACAGTGGGGATAGGCACACTAACTTATATTCATTGAGGCTGCCAAATGCAACACAGTTTGGTAACTTCATTCTGTGTCAAGCCTTAAATGTGCATAACAAAGTCAAGGGTAACATTTGATGATCTCACGAATTTAAACGGTTGAAACTTTGGCTTACACTTCCAAAGTTTCCTAAATGATGTAAGTGCCTTATAACTTGTGGAATCTTCCATCTAGAGCTGTAATATAACATTATGAGAGTGTTCAAGACCTTGAGTAAGTACTGAGCTAAAGCTAGCCACATGTTATTGAGAAGCAGTAAGCAGTACACAAGGCAGGTACCTCTCCAGCTCCCTGGAACAGCACTGTCTGGTCAGAGAGCTTGTTCTTGGTTATTCGAAGAGCCGCAAGGAGACCCGCAACTGCAACAGACGCTGTTCCTAAAACAAGTAAAAGTATCCTTCAGCAATCCTCAGATGGATCCTGCCAGACTAAGCTTTTATCTACACCTTCAAATCACTACACGACAGGAAAGAAAACAGGGACAGAAAGAATCTGTTTGTCCGTCTCCATGCTGGAATATGAGGCAAAATTCTTAGGCGAGGAACATCCGTATTTTAGGACAGCAGCTTAAATCCTTCAAAACTCCCCAAAAAGGGGACCCTGGGACTTCTTTTGATGGATGGTAGACACCAACAAGGGTCTGGATTCTGTTTGGTTTTCATTTTTGGTTTTAGAGTTTTAAGGTTGGGTCTCATGTAGCCCTGGCAGAACTTTGAAATCCACACAAAGGAGACACACAGGAAATGCTTGCTACTGATGGGGTAGTGGCGATGGTGTTACAGATATAGTTGGAATTTAATGCTTAAATTTGGAAGATTAGCCACTAGTAGCTAATTTTTGTCTTATTGCATTCTTTGTCTTTATATCTGTACTTCCGAATAGACCCTAGGTGCTAACGGAATATGTTCTCATCATACCACAGGTACAGAAGCAGCATCTTTCTAAGTACAGGGCTTCACCATGTATGTAGACCATGCAGTAGTGCTCTTGCTAGAAACAAGACTATGCAGCTCTGTCTCTTCATGGTTAATTCCTAAAATAGGACTTCAGTTTCTTGCAATGCCTTCGGGCTGTATGGACATTTTACACCTCCAAGGTAACATTCTACTGTTTCAATATCACACAGGTGAGCAGCAAAGTCTGACCAAACTTAAAATACCTTTACTTGGTAAAACCTAGACCTGAACAGACACAAGTAAGACCACTGCAATGTTCATGAACTGTGACAATTCATACATTGTACAAACCCATTGTTCTGCACATAATTTAAAATGGAAGTCTAAAGAGCTGACGATGTGACTTGGTGTGGAATGTCTGTCTAGTTCACAGAGAGCCTGAGTTAATGCCCAAAACCACAACAAAAGAAATTCTGTACAAAATATGGCTGATTTATATAGGAAATATGCCATGATGTCTGGCCCATATACCAAGACACAATCATGAGAACTGTTAACAAATGAAATCAGGGAGGAACAGACTTCCAGTTACCATGTTGAGTCATTACTCACAAGCAACATTTCAAGGTAGCTCTTCTTGGGCTCTTCTGGTGAAAACCAGTCCAAAGTTAGATCTTATGATTCTAAGATTGCCCCAATGTCACAAGATTTAACTAGCTGAAAAGTCAATGTTAGAACATTACCAGCATCACTGCTTGGTGTTATTCAGTATTTTGCTTTGTTTTTCATGGAACTGGACATTTGGAGACAGACATAAGAGGTTTGTTGTCTAATTATAATGTGCCATTGTCATGTGGTAATGCCAGTTCATTCTACTAAAATTTAAAATGTTTTACTGCAGACATGACTAAGTAGAGAGAATGAGTCTCCTCCCACTGTACTGGATACTAAGTCATTATATGTATATTCCATAGCATTTCTTAGTGATATAATGTCTAGCCTTCTCTTTATAGCACTACCAAAAATTTAATGTGAATGTGACTATTTTTTTCTAAAGTTTAAAAACTTTTTTCAAATGTGTATGAGTGCTCTATCTCTATGTTACACCCTTATGCCAGAAGAGGGCATCAGACCCCATTATAGATGGTTGTGAGCCACCATGTGGATGCTAGGAATTGAACTCCAGACCTCTGGAAGAGTAGTCAGTGCTCTTAGCCACTGAGCCATCTCTCCAGCCCATGAACACGATTCTTGTACACAGCCTGTGGCTAATTTAAATTTCTTTGTAGAGATGCAAGTGCAGAAAACTAAAATTTTATAAAACTAAAATTTTATAAAAATGTGTAAAATAAATTACATAGTTCTTTTAATTCTTATATTAAAATTAAACTTAAATCAGACAGAGGGAAGGCCTGTCCTTGGACTGCTGGTTTTAAAAAGGACTTAATACTGGTAACACAATACTAAAGAGATGGGCTTTCTCTTAAAATTTAACAGGTTCTATAGGTTGTATGTCTGTAATACAAAATTCCCATTTTTTCAGACTCTCAAATTTTTAAATGATTTTTAAAAATTGTATGAATGTGCATGTATATGTGCGTGCATCTGAGTGCAGGTGCCTCAAAGGCCAGAAGATAGTACTGCAGTGTCTGGTGTGGGTCCTGGGATTGAACTGTGGTCCTATGTAAGAACAGCAAATTTTCCGAACTGCTGAGTCATCCCCTTCAGCCCCCAAACTCTGAGTGTTTTGAGCCCTGACATGACAGCAGATGTCTTATACTTGATCTTATGTAGCTAGGATGCAAGTGCTGAAAAACTGTGTGCCATTACCTGTGACTTAGGTGTATGTATATGGTATACCCTGGACACAAATGAACTTTGTGTTTAGATTTGGGATCTCAGCCCCAAACTGTCTCATTATATTTATACAAACACTCATTCTAAAATCAGGAAAAATATGAAATTTAAAATGCTCCTGCTAAATACTGTTGACAAGAGCTACTCTATCCCATTATAAATTCGCAAATAATATGTCTTTGATACACACAGAAGTTTTGCTGTGGCTGTAAATCTCTCTGATTTTTTTCCAAAGAATGACCTCAACTGCTGGCATGATCATCTCAGTTTATAGGGGATGATGGAATGCTCAAGGCCAGCTTGTCTCAAAAACAATAAGAAAAGCAGACCTGGTTCAGTACACTGCAAACACAAAAGCAAATACACTGATGCAGTAATTTATTAAATCTAACTAGAACTAAAAATTATGCTATATAATTAACAAGACCAATCTGTAATTAAACTATAATCCTCACAAGTTATAATAGATCAGATACCACTAGAACTGTTGAGGAAGAGGGTGGGTTTACATTGGCCGAGCTCACGGTTAGAGCAAGCAGCACCTGGGCAGGGCAGTGCAGGGCATGGGAGACGCCCACAGCCTTGGGTGGGAGGGCACACGGAGCAGCAGGAGCATGCGCAAGACAGGGAGGCAGGGAAACAGCAGAATGTGCACACAGCTAGTGTTCCTCTTTCCCTACAAACGTCACTAAAGCAACAGGAAAACAGACTTACAAACAGAGATATGGACTCGAAAGCACCAGGCATAGTGGTGAACAAGGAGTAATGCTATACTGAAAAGAATTAAGTGAAATTTATTTACTTGATATGGAGGACCACACTCATGCAATCTTAACTGAGAATACTAACAGAAAGTAATTGCCAGCAGAGAGCAACAGAGCAGAATCCCAGC